TAAAATAATGTGATTTTTAATATTATTAAAATCACATTATTCTCGTCGATTGGAGTACATGGAAGCATATACCTGGTATGCCGGATTTACCATACATCTGCCGTAAGAGACCATCTGCCGTAAGCGACCGCTTTTTCTTGCACCAAGGGGCGGTCGCTTACGACAGATTTGACTGTAGTCGATAGGTTTATACTGATGGCCACAAACAACGGCAGTTTAAACTTCACTGATGTGTTCATGAGCTGAGAGATTTCTCTCCACTATTTCTGTTGTGCACACAGGCCTGTCCAATATGCATTGACCGTATTGGGTACCTGCTCTGAGAAGGGAATCGCTGGAGCCACAGTCCAACTATACAGGCTTTCAAGAAACAGAGAGGAGCCATCTTTGCAAGCTGATACCCGATGTGTACCGACAGAATTCTCACGAGATACCTTACGGACTACGCCTGGTGTATACTTCATAGTACTCCTTCGACTACTGTCTAGAATCAAGTCGACTGAAACAAGTTCAAACAACTCTGGCTTCAAACGAGCCGTCGATTAGACAAACAAAACATTCTCTCATATACTAGAGCACTCTGACAACTCACGACCTATTCCTAACGATAGCCACCGCTTATAAATATGTAGAGTACTGATTGGAATGTGCTCACAATCTCAACAATTCAGTGCTATAATTATTTGAACTATGTGTTCCTTCCATAAATGTTGTATCCACATATAATCCACAGTGCTGCAAAGTTTCAGAGTTCTCAGGGTATCAAACAAAATTATTTCAAATACAGTGAAATTGTTCGTGGACATTATGGCATAACTTGTAGTTCCCTGGTCCTTTTCTTTGCTATAAATTAATCCTTTGCTCTCTAGCCGCCGGCGAGTCCAACAGTGAAATTGTTAGTTCATATTTATGTGTGTGTGGGGGGGGGGGGGGGTTGAACATATTTCTATATACTGTAATGTCGCGTGCATTAGCCGGGGCTTATATGCCTATAAGCCGGTGATGGAGTCAGGCTTGTACACAAGACAGGCTTATACACGAGACAGGCTTATATGACAAGCACCACTCAATGACCAGGCTTGTATGCGCAAACTGCTGACTTTTGGACGTCAAAACCAACATTTTCCAACGGGATTTTTTTTCTTTTTTTTCGCAAGTGTACGGTACCATGCAAACATGAACATGTAAAAGGCGCGCTCACCAGTCTTGCGTAGTAGCCCGGCTTACGCACGCGACACGTGGCGCGTCTCGTGTACTGGCCCGGCTTATGCATGCGACAGGCTTGTACGCGAAAAGCTGTTGCAGATTTCATGCTTCTACACGAGACAGGCTTATGCACAAATCCGGCTTATGCACGCGACATTACGGTAAGGGACCTGCAACTGTAATACCACAGTACAGTAGATAGCAAATACTAGTGTAGAAAACAGAAATGCATGTTCCCATCATTGTACATGGACGGGCGCAGCAGGCCGAAGCTATCAGCCAGAACAGGATTTACAATCGCCTAGAGATACTTGAGCTATTCCAGTATTCTCCGTGAGCTGTCCCATTCCACAATGGTTCATGCCACCATTATTTCTGGTAGTATCCATGTGCATAATTCCACGACCATCTCGGATTCTTCAGCAATTTGTGCCACGGCAAAAGACAACGCTTGACTCGGTCACTGGGACTGTCAAACTTCGCATCACAAATGAACTTCAATTTCTCATCTGGTTCCAGTATATGTACTGCCATGACTTGACCATGCTTCATCCACAGCTGGGCGAAGATTGTGGCATTGAATTCCATAGCGCACCCTCTTGCTGCCATGCAGGAGTATGTTGAGAGAAGTGAACATATTTTTACTAAAAAAACAACAGCCCTGAAGAGGATAGCATTAGCAATAGCCTTGGGTGAATTTCCTGCAGGTACACGTTGTTGGTAGGTCTACTGGTCGGTCTCCATATCGTCAAGTTCAGAAATCACCTGTACTACACATCTTGTAGAAGGGATCCTGATCGAAAAATGTTCTGATCATAAAATTCACTAAACTGAGGGCGAGACAAATAGTCAGATGCCGTCTAGCTGCTTTGATCAAGTGATGCTAACAAGCTCCCCGTTGTTACTTCCAGCAGCTTCACTTTCCCTGCGATAGCGGCTATCAACCTTTCTGTCCATCGTCGACAATTATCACAGATTCAACATTCTACATTTATCAGCACTGCACTGGGTGAATATGTCTCGAGACGAATTTAGCGGATCAACAACGCTTTGATGGAGATAAATTCTCCTCTGGAGGACCTTCAGGGTACCTGGAAGGGTATAGAAGACGGGATCGCTCACGGCGTTGGGAGAACATAGCAAACAACCTCTTCTTCGATTGAAAATTGGCCAAAAAGTGTGTGAAATGTATGTGCGCAGATGCATTTCCACTGGCAAGCTAATCCCTCATTACGTCATCAGCGCTCGCTCGGCCGAAATTGAAAAGTCGTCTTCCTGCTCGACTCGATCGCTTCTGGAGACTCGTTCTTGTTCGAGGGGTCTTCTCTTTCACCAACCTTCGTCTTGGCATCGAAAACTCGGCGTCGAAAATGAAGCCGGAGTGCCCCTTTAAGGGGGGAATGACCCTTCAGATACTCAAAAATTGAAAGTTTCAATTCTGGCTGTTTTGGGTATCCAACTAGGCCAGCGGACCCTATAGGGTGTAGAAACAAAATTTTTGGTGAAACGGACTACTGGTTCCAAAGTTACGACCGTTTCAAATTCAACAATTCAAATGAAAATGAGTACGCACGGAACGAAAATTTGTACAATTTTGCACTCCATGCAGTCGGTGATTTTCACTGAAACCGCGTACTACTAGCGAGTTTTTCACTTGAAATCGTTGCTACTGGATACCATGGCGTACAAGGAGAAGCGCTGAACAGCTAGCTTTTTGCCTTGAGAACAAAATAATTATTTGAAATAATTTGAACAATGGGGAACCGAAGAACGAGCTCGAGTGGACGTTCTAGACGACAGAAAAGGAAATATTTTGGTCCAAAGCCAGCTGCTGCTGAAGTCGACGATGTCGTTGAGGTTCCTGAGGTCGCCAGTGATGTTGAAGTGACTGAGAAGAGCGCGTCCACGCGAAAGTTGAGCAGGAAGCCGGCCTATTTAGCTGATGAAAGCTTTGACAGCAGCGACGGCTCAGATGTGAACTCGAACCCAGACAGTTCTGAGGACGACGATACTGAGGCGTCTGAGGGATCTGGAGAAGAGATAGAAGAGGATTGCTTGCGGAGCAACAGAATTGTGTACCTAAAGTGTCTTCAGGAGCTTCTGGACGTGGCCACTGTGTGTAGCGAGTGCAAATCTGGAAAAATAAATATTGTTGACTGCTGCGCCGTTGGCCTCGCATCGGTGGTGCACGTGCAGTGCGACAATGTCACAGTTGGAGATTTAACCTATGCCTGAAAGAGAAGCGGTTCTTTGACGTCAACCGGCGATCAGTGTTGGCCATGCGGAGAATTGGCAAGGGACGTGCCGCTCTGAATAAGTTCTGCGGAACCATGGACATGCCCAGCCCTGTGAACACACATGCCTACACCCGTCACCAGGAAGCGCTCGTGATCGCTGTAGCCACTGTGGCTCATAAGAGCATGGTGAATGCTGCTGACGAGGTGAAGGTGCTGAATGGTTGCGACACTGTGGCGGTAACTTGCGATGGCACCAGGATGAGGCGCGGCTATACGTCTCTCTACGGTGTCTTTGCCTGTATATCGTGGAGAACAGGCCGTGTACTGGACATACACGTGAGCAGCAAGTACTGCCAGGAATGTGTCGTGCGGAACGACCGGAAGGAGTCCGGGAGAATTAGTGCAGTTGATTTCACTGCCTGGAAAGGTACCCACACCTGTGGAGTGAATACAGCGCGATCCGCACCAGCCATGGAGAGCGAGGCAGCTGTCATTATATGGAGTCGCTCTGTTGCTGATCGTGGTCTCCGGTATACAACGTACATCGGAGATGGCGACAGTAAGGCATTCAATTCTGTTGTTGAAGCTGACCCGTACAATGGTGTAGCCATTGAAAAGGAGGAGTGCATTGGACATGTACAGAAACGCATCGGCACGGGCTTGCGGGAGCTGAAGAAGACGATGAAGGGTAAATGAAAGCTTCAACGGCGTCATCTGGGGTATGTGCCAGAAGGAAAGCTTCTGTGGCGCTGATGTTGTCCGGTTCGCTGCCAGCCTTGCAGTTGCCCACTTCAATGATGGTGCACTGGCTGTGGAGAGTGTGCTTCTGGAAGCAGACTGTGTACCTGGCGTGCTGACCCACAAAGCATGCCAAGATGAGGATTTCACCCGCATCAGCAAAGCCGATCGCAAAGGTTCAGCAGAAGAGAAGGAGAAGAGAAAGAAGAGAAGAAGGCGAAAGAAGGGCTGGGAGGAGACCACTATTGAAGAGGAAGGAGATACTTATGGACCGGGCAAGTTTTAGTGCAGCTATCTGCCTGCATCGTGATAGTGCTGTATGAAAAGTGCTGAACATACCCTGAATATAGACCTAAATATACCCTGAATTTTTGCCATTTTTAGTGGTTTGTTGACACTCCGCGCAGTTTCCTGGCTCACTTGTACAGAATGGACATGCAAAAGTATACATTTTTGAAATCTGTGTGATGTCAGCTTGTGCGTTTGCCTATGGGCAGGAGATTTCTTCAATCCTGTGTGCATATTCTGCCCATTCCATCCGTGAGGTAACTGCGCATGTGCGGTAGTGCAGCATGTGAGAGCTGTACCACTGCCACTGATGTTTAGGACTGTGTGATATTAGGCAAACGCACTGCGTGTACCTATAATCTAAATATCTAAGGCTGAAAGAGATGATTCTGATGAACTACATTCTGATAAAATTGCGCACCGTTTAGCTTTTGTCCGTTGTGCGATAATTATCCTTTTGTTGTCAAATCTTCCAACTTTCTTTAGTTTATTTTCATTCAGAGTGCCATTGATCTGTTGTATGTTATTCCATCAAGACATGGTGAAAATTTCATCAAGAAATATTGAAGGAAACGGAAGTTGTGGTCGTTCTGACATGTACGGTCCAGTATGGCGTGCGCGAAGGGTCATTCCCCCCTTAAGACATGCATGCTTCAGTGATGTGCACTCATCCACGTCTGTATTAGCAGCCAGCAGACGTGTGAACATAAAGACAATGTGCCGTGAGACAAGGGTGCACTGAACTAGTATAGAGTGCAGTTACATGTCGCTTACCCGGCAGACAATCACGAGGCACGTCGGTTACCCAACAACGCACCAACAGCCTATGCACTGCATACAGGCGCATAGCCTGCAGGGGCGGGGGGGGGGGGCATGCGCCCACCCCCCCCCCCCCCCCCCCCCCGCCCCTTAAAAACTCCGACCTACTTATAGGTTGCCTATGTCCTCATCTCTCTTCGTTTTGTTTTCGCTGCCTGGGCTCTCTTTTATCTTTGCTTGCTTGCTTGCTGGTATTGCTGAGGGAACATTTTGTATTCGTGGGTCCCCCATGGTGCATGGGCCACGCGTACTCATCCGGGGGATATGTGTGAATAATAATAATATAGGTTCAGCATGCACATAATGACGATCAATGACTTGCACCAGCCGTCCTACACGGACGAATACAACGGGGACAAGACAGGAAAATAAGTATACAATTGGGACAAGATGAGAAAGTGTGTATACGGAGGAAACAGAAGATGGTGCAGCCGCATGTACACAGGAGTCAAAGACAGCGCAGCAGCGTGTACCAAGGAGTCAAAGACAGCACAGCAGGGTGCACCACGGTTCAGCAGCATGTACGACAAAGAGACACAAACGCAGCAGCATGTACGACAAAGAGACACAAGCATGAACAAGGTTTGTCCTGGAGAGCAGTATATAAGTGGTGCTTTTCGGGCACACTGTGTATTGAGCAGGGAGTGGTGCTTTCTTCCAGGTTTGCCAAGTGGACGGTGCGACGTGCTCCTCGTGTGCTCCGGATGGCAGTCGTGAGTCAATCACGCGTCAAGTTTGGCAGGAAGCGTGTGTTCCTCGTTGGAACAACCAACTTCATATTGTTTTCGTTTCTTTTAATTCTCACTCACCGGAACATTTAGATCCAGTCCAGGTGTACCCACTGCTGCATAAACATTGGTAAGAACCCAAAGTGTTTGCACATGTAGCATTCTGATCCGAAGCACACGTATGCGTTCCGGACGTACATTCATCAACATCTGAAATAGCAGCAGGGAGCAAAGGTGCCAGGGAGAAAACTTATCTTCAGGAGACAAACAAAAGAAAAAATGACATTAATTTTCAGTTGACAGATTCATCTCAGTTCTCAAGACTGCTTAATTGCTAAGATCTATTCTTGAAGCGCCCGAGAAGTCGGCGTCCAGACAAAAGGCAAAAAAAATACCGTAGTTCCCGGTGTGTTGGCCGCACCGGCCTCTAAGGCGCACCCCCCCCCCTTTTTTCGAGTCCAAAACCTGAATTTTTTACAATCGGTTTATTAGCCGCACTCCCGACTTTGAAATATTGGACAACCTTACCCGATGGGTATCGGTACAAACAAGACGTCACCGATTGATAGAAAAGTTTAGAAGCACGTGTGCAGTTCTACAGATATCGCCTATGTAGGAGACGGACGTTCTCCTATGCAAACCACTATGTATTACTATGCATTGCACTATTCATTGCTGGCACCATCAGGTCTCTTGTTACCTACATTAGACGATATATGTCTTCTTCCGTCCACACAATAACACTTATGTGGCCAGTGATACGTGACTGTCACTGTTACCTTTAGAGATCGCTAGCTAGCGCTAGGAGCTGTAGCTGGACTTCGAATCTCTTATGTGGATCCGTCTTTCAGTTTCCCAGTTCAGTTGTTGTTTTGTCTTCCCTTCCATTTCACTCTTGTTTTCTGTCTAACTAACTTACTTCTGTGCTACCTACGTTTGTCTTTTCGTGCAATCTTATTCCCTGAGACTACTGCTTGTGCTTTGAGTCGTGAGAGACTGAACCAGTTTGCCTTGTCACTCGGTCGCGTACTACAGCCTAGTTTGTCCTTCACTCAGAACTGAAAACATGTAGATGATTCGCAAAAGTACAATGATGGATTGCAGAACATGAACAGTAGTCACATTACACCATACATGCACTATACGCGTGGAGTGCTGTAGCACTGGTCGTTTCACATCCAACATTGGGAGTCTAAGTCGCAGGGACGATTTTGGAGTGTTCAATGCGTTTTAAAGTGCGACTAACAGCCCGGACAATACGGCAGTTAAAGGATTACCCAGAGGCTCTAAAATGTTTTTTTGTTTTCTTTTTCTTTAGTTGTGCCAGGTCAGTGATATCATGTTCAGTGATTGCCCGTATAAGAGGCTTGTTCAAAAATAAATTAAAAAAGCCCAGAGGCTCTAGGCCTGTCGAGGGGATCTCTTACTCGGAAATATCTTGTACTCGGGGAAAGAGGAGAAGAGTACACAAAAAGAAAAAGAAAAAAAGGAAACAAACCCAGCAATTGTGCATGTGAAGGTGTTGGTATACCATCAGTGTAGTGAGTGAATCGTCGAAATTGCTGGAAGAGGGAATGTTTCTTCTTCGCGCAGATGTGGAGAGGTTGGCAACCAATCTTTTAATGTAAATTCTGAGAAGTTCGGAAAAATCGACAGTGCACATCATGGTCTTACCAAAAACTGATGGAAATAGGTTACCTGTGCACAAAGACAATAAACAAATGGCCGTACATTTTCGTCCTGAACTGAAACATGATCAACAGACCATAGAGAAGAAAACTTGTATTTTCCCTCTCTCTCTCTCTCTCTCTCTCTCTCTCATTCTCTCTCTCTCTTTCTCTCTCTCTCTTTCTCTCTCTCTCTCTCTCTCTCTCTCTCTCTCTCTCTCCCCCCCCCTCCCTCCCTCACTCCCCCCCCCCTCCCTCCCTCCCTCTGCTTCCATCTGTGTGAGAGTGACTGTCAAGTGAATGCTGTACAGTGATGCGCAGTGCTAGTTTGGTCTGGGAATGAGAGTGATGTGCGATTCGTTCGTGGTCTTGGTTTTAGAGATCCTACTCTGGTTCTGCCCGTACTAGTAGTAGTAGAATCCTAAAGGACGTTTTGGCTCTTCGTTGAGCTCATTTTAATAGTTATTACACATAGACACTCAGTGTCTTTCCACTCGGAAACAATTCTCCTCATACTTCAGTAAGAATCATTATCATTAGTATCAGAGATACTCGAACTCGTGACTGTCCTCCAAGTAGTAATGATGAGGAAGCCTCTACATCACGACGGCTGGGGTAGATATTCCCACCAGCCGTACGCGACGCAGAATATGCTAGTGTCAGGATAAGGACATCGTGGAGGCGAATAGAGACATACCGTAGAAGTCTCCGGTAAACGAAAGCAATACGACGGGAAAAGAAGAAGACTGTATAACCATAAACGGGACAAGTCATGGCCGTAAGTATAGAACTAGAAAACGAATGGGAACACAGGCTGACTTGACATAAAACGTACATGTAACAATAAATCGTAATGTTGTCCGACGGTAACGCACAGTAGCAATGAATACTAGAAATGCATCGAAAGTGCAGCTGTCCAATCAGAGACAATGTACAAGGTGAAGACGCATGCAATATCTAACACTCCCTCCGTTGAGGTACATAAGGCTGAACGAATGCATGTATTGTAGCTCAACAACGAATACTTATGATATTGCAATCAGAGGTGTAGGATCTTCTTGAGACAACGCTTGACGCATCTCACCATTCTCTCAAAGAACCCGCCCCACCAGGGGGGCTTCTCAAGCAGATGGGGCTTCTCCAGCAGATGGGGCTCCGCGTTGAGGCAGACGTTGATCGATGGGCCCTTGCCTGAGCGGAATGACGCATCGTACACAACACGCACTCTTGTCGTGGTCCTATCTTCCCCACCAACGGCTTGATGTGGCGCATAGTGTATATCTCTCACATCACCAAATTCCGGGTTCTTGACTTCCTCGATATTGCGGATTCGGAAGTTGTCAGGTAGCGTTGCATGGACTTGATTCTCCGTTATTGGATGTATTCCAAGAGACTCCAGCTCCCAGGATTGTTGAAGCTGCTGATCAAGGACCTCCGCTGTCGTCGTTAAGCTGTGCACCTCAGTAGCGAGGCATGTACCTGTCGTACTAATTGTTGGGCCTGATGCAGGACCAGACAAGACCCAGCCAAGACGCGTACGGATAGCTGTCGGACCAGAGGCCGTCGTGATCGTCTTGCCCATCATAAATTGCCAGTACTGATCGGCTCCAATCAATAGATCGATTGTGGCTGTGCCGTCGCTGTCGTCTGCCAGTGTGAGGCCTTGTAGCGCACCGCAGCACTGGACTGCTTGTGCAGGGTGCTGGTTCTGGACTGGTGCACAAATTGAATCAATCACGATACACTCCAGCTGCAGGGGGTCTCCCTCCGTACTCTGTACGGTCAGATTCACCACGTCCCTTAAACGGCTGTCCCCAACAGAGCAATCACCGAAGGCATTGACATTCAAGCCTTCCTGCCTGTCTGTCTTTAGGTCCAGCCGCCTTTGCACATCACGTGTCACGAACGAGCGCTGGCTCCCTCCGTCGAACAACACCCTCACAGGGATCCCGTTGTCTCGGATCGGTATGCTTGGTGCGACGATAGCTTTAGCGGTCTGCAGCAAAACCATACTGTTGTTTTTGCTAGAGGATGCCAGAGCACTGACAGACGACAGTGTAACGCTGCTGGCGGATGGATTGGTCGGTCCCTTCTTGCTTGGAGCCGATGCTGCCCTAGACTGGTTGTTAGCGGCCGGCTTCTTTTCATAGCGCGACATGGGTGGTGTTGCAGGTGATGGCCTGTCAGATGTTGAGTCACACAGGGTAGTGTGGTGTCGACGTTGGCACTTGGCGCATTTCAACTTCGACTGACAGTGACGGATTATGTGGTTCGGTTTCAGACACAGAAAGCACCTTCCGTTGCTCTTAACTATGTCCTTCCGCTTCTCTGTGTTTGTAACGACAGAGCACCTGGCCGTCTCATGACTCTGTCCACAGAACACGCAACTGGCACTTGCCGGGGACGTAAAGGCTGCTAATGCTGCTGCTGTTGGCTGTTCTCTGTAGGTCTGTTTGTTGCGTGTACTGGTCCCCTCAGGCTGTGTGGTGATGCCAGTGAGCATCTCCTGTGCTGTTGTTCTGTAGTCCGCTTCTCTTAATGCCCAGGCCAGCAGAGTGCATACCGTCTCCGCTTCACCTCTTTCTGTCATCTGGCGGTAGTACTGCGTCAGGAGAGGCTGTGGCAGTTTCTTCAGGAGCTGCTGATAGAATGCACCAGCCTGAAGTTCCTGGCTGCGTCCGGCGTCTTCTAGGTGAATGACAGCTACTTGGAGAAAATCAGCGAACTTCTCCAGATCCTGGGCAGCTCGTTCCATTCGTATCACTGGTAGCCTCGCCAGCGCCTCTGTATGCACTGCTGTCTGTCTTCTATCGCCACCAAACTTCTGTTCTAGACGCCTGATTGCTGCGGTGTACGCTGCTGCTGAGTATCCATAAGATTCTATCGCTTTCAATGCTGAGCCCGTCAAACACTGACGTAGTTGCAATAATTTCAGCTCTGGCGATAAATCTTGCTGCTCTACGCAAACCGAGAATGCTGCTTTCCATGTTCTGTATGCTGTTTTATCGCCACTAAACGTAGGTATCTTCACTTTCTTCAGGTGTCGGTACACGTCTGTTGGTGCTGCTGTTGACGATGTTGAGCTGGCTGTCATTCCAGACCACCTGGTCTGCGCGGGTTGCTGCTGCTGGTATTGTTGCTGTTGCCGCTGCTGCTGCTGCTGCTGTTGCCGCTGCTGCTGCTGCTGCTGTTGCTGTAGTTGTTGCCGCTGCTGCTGCTGCTGTTGTTGCAGCCCAGACAACGGCTGTGGCCTGAGCCTCGGTAGCGGCGTGGAAAACCGCTGCGGCGGTAGCATGCATGATAACGGCTGCGGCATAGACGACGGCTGCAACGTAGACAAAGGCTGCGGCGACTTCGGCACATAGACCGACTGGGACGCGTACAACGGCGGCAACGAGTGCTGCAACACGGGCAGCAACTGCTGCGATACAGGCAGCGACTGCTGCAACACGGGCAGCGACTGCTGCGCTACAGGCAGCGACTGCTGCAACACGGGCAGCGACTGCTGCGACACAGGCAACGGCAAAGACTGATCTGCCGACAATGGCGGCAACGACTGCTGCGACACGGGCAGCGACTGCTGCGATACAGGCAACGGCAAAGACTGATCTGCATACAACGGCGGCAACAACTGCTGCGACACGGGCAGCGACTGCTGCGACACAGGCAACGGCAAAGACTGATCTGCATACAACGGCGGCAACGACTGCTGCGACACGGGCAGCGACTGCTGCGATACAGGCAGCGACTGCTGCGACACAGGCAGCGACAAGTACTGATACGCAGACAACGGTTGTGACATACATGAAGGCAAGGGCTGCGACAAAGACTGCGACACATACAAAGGCTGTGTGTGTGTGTACTGCATGCGTGTGCGCTGTGATTGCATCCTAGACACAGGTTGCGATGCAGTCTCTGGGGTCTGTTTGCCAGGTTGCCACAATGTGTCCATGGAGTTGTTAGTGTGGGCCAATGGTGCTGTCCCAGTGTTGAACTGCTGTGCATTCTCAATCATATACTCGGTGCTTTCTGGAACAATCACTGGCGTAGCAATGTCTGGCACGAAAGCGTTCGCCCACGTTGTATCACTATTTGCAGTTGCACCTTCTACGTCGTTTGGATACTCTTGCCGATCCTTCGTATCTGCCTTTTGATGATGACCATAGCCTTGTAAAGCCGTCTGATCACCAGCGGGTTCGCATAACGGCGCACTCTCGCCCGTTTCGGGAACCTGTGCGTCTGCCTGTGCACGACTCGTGCTGTCTGTTTGCTGCATATGGCGCTCAGGACAAGGCCTGCAGCTCCTGGTGCGTGATCCGTGTCCTTATCTAGACTCGCTAAGTATGCTTTCACCTTATCGGCATTCCGGGTGTACTGTACACCGCTTATAGAGCTCGCACGTGAACTGTTGTAGTTTGAACAAATTCCGTACATGTACTCACTAACCATAGCCACTGTGTTTGCATACATTTCTTGTGTTGCTACATACTCCTCGAACAACTCTGGATCCTCCCGCAATGTACTAAGCAAGCAATGTACTTTTAGGTCCAGCTCCACGAGTGACAGTTTGACAGCACTTACAGGTGATCCATTTTCGATATCGTTCAGAACCGCGATTCTTGCTTTGGCGAAGGCGACACTCTGGTCAGCCTTTCTCGACCTCGCATCCATTGAATCCGGCTCGAAAGACCAATTTTAGAGATCCTACTCTGGTTCTGCCCGTACTAGTAGTAGTAGAATCCTAAAGGACGTTTTGGCTCTTCGTTGAGCTCATTTTAATAGTTATTACACATAGACACTCAGTGTCTTTCCACTCGGAAACAATTCTCCTCATACTTCAGTAAGAATCATTATCATTAGTATCAGAGATACTCGAACTCGTGACTGTCCTCCAAGTAGTAATGATGAGGAAGCCTCTACATCACGACGGCTGGGGTAGATATTCCCACCAGCCGTACGCGACGCAGAAAATGCTAGTGTCAGGATAAGGACATCGTGGAGGCGAATAGAGACATACCGTAGAAGTCTCCGGTAAACGAAAGCAATACGACAGGAAAAGAAGAAGACTGTATAACCATAAACGGGACAAGTCATGGCCGTAAGTATAGAACTAGAAAACGAATGGGAACACAGGCTGACTTGACATAAAACGTACATGTAACAATAAATCGTAATGTTGTCCGACGGTAACGCACAGTAGCAATGAATACTAGA